GAGCTGAAGGCTTTCATTCCTCATGATCATGTTATAACTTGGCTTCTGCTTCGCCTTTTATATCCAAATGACATTCACCCAAATGGCACACGGTGCAGGAGTCCGTTTTGCTGTTATGCGCAATACACAGCAAAGCCATTAGAGCCTGGTGTGTGGTATAACGTGTCAGACTGCTTTACTCTCTCTTCCTTCACAAGCACACGACGCCGAACGCGCTCAATGCTCGCTCGTTAATTACACCGGACATGAGCTCAACTTAGAATGCAGCGACAGCCAAATGTAACAGATGTTATGACTAATTTGCCCAGTGATAATTACTATTGCGATAACTGGAGTTGGGTCGTAAACAATGGAATACGGCACAAGTAGTTGAGACAAAACTTCTCTGCGCAATACGTGAGGGTCGATCAGCACATAGTAAATGTTAGCTGTGGCCATTACATATAGAATCTGGCTCAAACATCAAAGCAGGACGATTCTAGTGCTTGATAAATGCAATGCATTTTCGTTTTGCTTCAATCGACCCTAGCAAATTTGATCTGGCTTTTACCCAGAAAAAGGCCACAGCACTGATCAGCATAGCCTTCGCCGCAAGAAAGGCGTCCATGATGGAAAATGGCAACAGCGGTTCAACGCACTTTTAATGATTTTAAGCCATATGTCCAAATATTATCGGCCTTCATCCAACAAATCATATCTTTATATAAAAATATACATAGACTTTTATAAACAAAAATACAAATTCGCTAGCTGTTGCTTTTCCGTTTATGTCCAAGCAAGCGGCCCATTCCAGTTCATCGGCTTCCATTTGGAGCCCTCGATCCTCCTTCAGACTGGCATGCCTCAATGTTCGCACATTGCTTCAGATCGGTCAACAGGCAGCACTTGCCCGAACATTAAAGTCTCTCTCCATCGATATCTGCTGCTTATCGGTGACCCGCCTGCAAGACTCGAGCTCTGTGATCACTCTACGATCCCTTTCAGGTGACACTAGCAGCACTTTCTCTAATTGCGCCTATCCGGTGACGACGCAGCTTCGAGCACCGGCCAAGCCGGTGTTGGTATTGCCCTGAGTCCCCGGGCTGAAGCTGCTCTGGTTGATTGGATTCCAATCAGTAGCTGGATGCGTGCGGACCGATTGGCTGGCTCGTTCAAAACTTCGAAGTCGCGTGGGACTAACAGGTGTCTATTCGTTATCGCTGCCTATGCACCGACAAATTGTAGCGATGACTCGGTAAAAGACGACTTCTATCGTCAACTGAACGAGCTCCTTCGCCACAGAAGAAGCTCGGACACTGTAGTGCTGGCTGGGGATCTGAACGCTCAAGTTGGAAAATTATCCACAGATGAGCTGCATCTGGGCGGCCAGCATGGTATAGGCTCCCGTAATGATAACGGTGAGCGGTTACTTCATTTGTGTGAGGATGCTCGCTTATTTCTTGCGAGCACTAATTTCCGACACAGCACTCGCCGGAGGGTGACTTGGCGCCCACCAGCCTCGAAGCAGCTATGGACGCAAATCGATCACATTGCAATCAGTTACCGCTGGAGAGGCTGCATCCAGAACTGTCGCTCGATTTGCAGCACATGTGTGGACACCGATTATGCACTTGTATGTGCTGACCTGCGAATGCGCTTTGGCGTGACGCCTACGACGATGTTGTGAGCGCATTGATACCAACAGACTGGCGTAGCCAGCTGTTCTGAATGCGTATCAAATTACGCTGTCATCCGAGTTGGATAAACGCTCACCGAATGCAATTGAAGCTCACTGGTCTCATATTCACCAGGCCTTATTAGCAGCAGGCAAATCCTCATGTGGTATGTCTAATCGCCAACATAGACATTGGGTCTCTTCGCAGTCTCTGGAACTTATAGATGCTCGCCAGCATATTCCGGCTGAAAGCGAACACAATAAAACTCGCAAAAAGCTCCGGGCGAAACTCCGTGCTAGCATGAAGAGAGACCGCGAATCCTGGTGGTCTCATCGTGCAACGGAGATGTTAATGGCCGCTGCCCTTGGTAACCATCGTGAGTTATTCCGTCTGATACGGGAAACGGGCAGCAGGAGACCTGATGTTTGTGAAACTATACATGACGAGAGTGGACAGCCTATCCACAAGTTATCAAAACGTTTGGAACGTTGGGCTGAGCATTTGAAAGGCAATTTAATAGGTCGGAATTGTTAGATTTCTCGCCTACTAGTGATCGCCCTGCTCCGTGGGCTGTTCCTTTGGATCCATCCTCTCGCTCAGAAGTCGAACGGGAGATCGGACTGTTGAAGTTAAATAAAGCCGCGGGACCTGCTGACCTTCCTCCATCCCTCTTCAAATTCGGGGGACCTGCTTTTGTGGATAATTTACACGAGTTACTAGTCAAAATGTGGGAGCAGGAGACTGTCCCAACCGATTGGAGCCGCTCCATCATAGTCCCAATTTTCAAAGGAGGCTCACGATCGGAATGCGGCAGCCATAGAGGAATCAGTCTGATCTCCATCACCTCCAAATTGCTTGCCTCTGTCATCCTTCACAGACTGACTGGCACTCGTGAAAGCCAGATTCGTGAAGAGCAAGCTGGATTTCGTCGAGGTCGTGGCTGCATTGACCACATCTTCACCTTGCGTCAGTTGTTGGAGCACCGTCACACATATTGGCGGCCCACCGTTGTCGTGTTTCTCGATATCAAAGGTGCATTCGATTCGGTGGACAAACATGCACTTTGGGACTGTCTACTCAGGAAAGGTGTACCTGAGAAATATGTGAATATTATCCGAGCATTATATGCGCTTAGCTCGGGCAGAGTGAGGGCTTACGGCAAGCTGTCGTCGCCCTTTAATATCTCCAGCGGCGTGAGACAAGGATGCTCGCTGTCACCTTTCCTCTTCAACTTTGCTGTTGACGAAGTCATGGAAATCGCGTTCACAGGACACGACTTAGAATGTGTGGAGCTACTCCCGGGCGAACGACTTCTTGACTTAGAGTTTGCTGATGATATTGCCTTGATCTGTGACAGCTCACAAACGTGCCAAGCGGCACTGGCCAAATTAGCACTAACTGTCCGTCAATTCGGGCTTTGCTTCTCATCCTCGAAGTGCAAAGCGTTTTTCCAAGATTGGTCTGGACCGCCTCCTACGCTGACCCTTGGTGGTGATCAGCTAGAAGTCGTTTAAAAATTCAACTACCTGTGAAGTTGTATCAGCGCCCGTGGAATTGAAGATGAAATCACGAATCGTGTAGCAAAAGCTCGGGGCGCTTTTTCTAACCTTCGCCACTTGTGGCGCCGTCGCGACATCACTCTTGCCTTGAAGGGTAGAGTGTACAATGCAGCAGTACGTGCGACCCTACTGTACAGTTGTGAAACCTGGCCACTTAAAGCAGCGGACCTGAAGAGGCTAGTTCCGTTCGACCACCGGTGCCTTCGTAATTTAGCTCACATCAGGTGTTAGACGCCTTGTTTATGGCACAGGAAAAGGAAATGAACCGCTCAGCACCATTATTTCACGCATCAGGCTCCGATGGCTCGGCCACGTGTTACGCATGCCAGCCCACCGACTCCCGCGACGTGTGTTGTTTGCGCGCCGTTGGTGTGGATGGAAAAAGAGGAGGGGTGGCCAAGCGATGAATTGGTGCAGAGGAATGAAGGCCCTCACTTCTGAGCTGGCCTCGGTTGGAGCGTCTCGGCTCCTTGGTTGGGGTCCGAAAGACGATGAACACGTTTGGTTGGACACACTTGCTGATATGGCTAGGAGCAGACCTCAGTAACGTTCGCGCTGTGAGTTTCTTTGTCCCACCCCATCCCTCTTAGCCTCCTCCTCCTACCACGCTCATTAGTTAGCCTTATATGATTTTGCATAGTAACTTTTTTGGTGCACAGCAGCTGGCTGGTAGCTTACCGGAACGATGCCCATCCGTTACCGGTAGCTCAGCCAGCTTGCACCAGTTGCAATTTTTCTCCTTTTTTCTATGTATTGCGGCACAGTAGCTGAGGTGTTCCCCACCTCTAGCTAACGTGTACGATGATGATGATGATGATGCTTTTCCGTTTATTTGGCCAATTGGTCAAATTCATTGCAGATATACATATGATATTTAATGCTGCTGGGAATCATACGAGCAGCTGTAAAATGGTAAGTTCAACGTTAGCAAAATTCTCACTAGAGTTGGAAATATAAGAATACATATGGAAAGCATCTAATAGCTCTTATATTTTCACACCTATAATACGAATTTGGTTAAATGGCGCGATAAGATTCAAGAAATGCTGAGTCAACATAACTGCCTACTACCGGACCGATTCATTTAAATGAGGATAATCAGTCCGTTGCCTACACAACCACGTTGATTAGTTGACAGGAAACGACACTACTATGCCTTTGCCATCTGTTTGTTTAGTCGAGCCAAATGAAAAAGACATGTAAGAGCCATACACTGTTTATGGAAAAAAATCAAAGGCTAACATTAAAGAGAGAAGTCAATAATACCTACTATTCGGCTAACTTTGCAGAGTAAACTTACTTCCCTGGATTACCGGCAGTTGTTACTTTAAACAGCTAACAATAATGGCCATCTAAAAACAGTTAGGGAAGATTATCATCTAAGAAGATGAAATAATCATTTTAAAGCACTCATTGTGTGTATGGATGAAACATAACACCAATTTTAATCGCGACTCAACTGACGTAAACATTAGTTAGTCCGACCATAGATACACTAAAGTTAAAGATTTCGGTTGCAGTCGCGATGATTATAGTATGCGTTCAATTGAGTGTTCCGAGGAGAAGCAGCACCATCAATTACAATAAAGGCAACGCTCGACGACATACCGCCTGTTGAGCTAGGTCATGATTTCTAGCAACGTAAATACCGGCCATGAGATGAAAACTTTTAGTGAGTGCTGTCCACTATATATCTTCCATAAGAAATCATTTTCTCTCTGATTAAAATGTTTTAGCAGAATAAGTCGTGCATTTCATTGTCCGTAATCCGGATGCTTTCTTCCAGCTGATGCGTTTCTGGGCATACGCCTACAAAACTGGCGGATTTGTTGCTTGTACAATAGATCCAGCAAGTACAGAGCACTCTGATAGGGAAGCGCATGCGGTTGTTCTAGGATCGCACGGCGAACTAGCTGGAATCTCTATTGCGTTTATGAGTGACACTGAGGTGGCTCTGCGGACGGAGGTGCTTTTCAACACGGAGAGCGCAGGATGCATTGTATATGAGCCCGGTCATACTGCTGATTTGTTAGATCAAAGTAAGTTATATCCGTTTATAAAATACAAATATTTCTTTCCATTCGTTTTTGCATACGCTGTAATAGACCATTTAAGTCCGTTTAACGTATTAATCCAAAAGCGAAATTTTGTTGCTATTAAGGTACCTCTCCTAATTCATCTTTATATCAATACAATAATTTATCCGTGCCAAGACTTTCTGTAGCAAAGTATGTAAAGTTGTTTGCCTGCTAACAAACCCACAGCCATAAGAAATATAAATCACCACTCCCCCTAGCAGTTATCCTATTATGCAACCATTAGAGCATACATAACGCATTTTTCAGTGTGATAGATGGTTATCCGAATGATAACCTGTACGATTTTCTAAACATCACTTATCAGTGTAACTCCTCTTAATTATCAAGGGAATTACGTTTAACAGACTGTGACAAAGAACAGCTGCTGCAGCACATATATGTTGTCTCGACTGAAATTCCCTATAAAACAATTGACGAAGTGCTATTGTTTTACTTGCCTAACTGAAGGGTTTCAAATTACAAACATAGCTAATATGGTCCATTTCGCTTAATACTTCCCTTAATCACGATACTAACTCTCTTTTCTATTTTAGCTAAAGGGCGTATATGTAAGTAAGATTGATTTGAGCTCTTAAGAATATTTCAATCTCAGTGAGCATGCAGTCCTTGATAAATGGAGCATTACCGCTTTTCTCTTGCCTCTTATTTCCCCAGAATAGCATAGACTGTATTACATAACTTGATCATTTATCTAGTTTAACGTAACTTGCAAAAGCCATCAATCTATTTAAACACAGTAAAACAGTATACAAGTGTCCAATACAAGATAGCACTTCTAATTGATTTCAATTTTTTGTTTGATGCTTAGACTTTTGTAAAAATAAAAGATATGGTTAACACAAAATAGACTGTTTCTGCAGAAAACTTTAATTTCTAATTGGATTCAGTACGTAGCAGCAATGCACCAAACGTTTTCAATATATTTTGAATGTGAGCAAGCGCCTTAATTGAGGCTAATTGGCTAAGCACATTGAACGCATATAAGATTTATTTATATTGACTTTGTCTATGTCGGAAATAAGCCACCTGCATGGATTAGTTAAATACGACATTAAGTAATGTGATATATGAGGGATAGAAACAACGTGCACACTTTCGAAAATGGCGATATGGTTTGCAGTCTTTAGATAAAAGATATATTGGACGTATCAGAAAAGGAACCATGGCACATTTTTCAAAAAAGCTATTTTACCCTCAATTTTCAGGTGATAAAATGAAATGTACCATTAGTAGCATGGCCTGGGTCCATTAGACATAGTATTAGTCTTCGGTAGTTTTTTTCTTTATAGTACTTTTCTTTATAGTTTACCTTGACGTCGTACTGCATGTTTTAGCGTCATACATTTCTGTACCATCATCGGCTGATCTATGTTCTCAAGTGAGTTCCTCAGAATTCACTTGCTAAAAATCTATTGATGCGTGCCTAGTTCAGAGTCAACTTACTTGCTGCAGTTGTTGGAGCATCATCACATATATTGGCTGTCCACCGTTGTCGTGTTCCTCGACATCATAAGTGCCTTCGATTCGGTTGATCCCTGTGCCGTTTAGGATTGTCCATTGATGAAGGGTGTGCCCGATAAAAATGTAGTCATCTGATCACTATACGCGTGTAGCTCGGGCAGGCTGAGTGCTTATGGCAAGCTGTCGCTGATCTAAAATATCTCCAGCGATGTAAGACAAGGATAACCGCTTTCACCTATCCTGTACAAATTCATTATTCATGCAGTCCTCGAGATCGCGTTCAAAGGACATGAATTAGAAATTGTGGAGTTGCTACCAGGTGAACGACTTCTTGGCTTAAAGTGTGCTGATGGCATTGCTTTGATATGTGATAGCTGATAAATATGCCAAGCCGCTATGGACAAAGTACCCCTGGCTTTCAACCGTTTCAGTCTATGCTTTGAACCCACAAAGTGTGAAACTTTCCTTCAAGATTGGCAAGGACCGTCTCCTGTGCTGAACCCTTGTGGGGATCAGCTGCAAGTTGTCCAACTTTTCAACTGCCTAGGTAGATGAATCACCCCTGTTGTTATGAAGAAGGGGTCATAACCTGTATTGACAAAGCACGAGTCACTTTTGCTAACATTCGCCACCTATGACATCGGCGCAAAATCACTCTCTCCCTGAGTGTGTACAGCGCAGCTGTATGTGCGACCCTACTGTACGGTTGTGAAACCTGACCCATTTGAGCAGCTGCCAAATATAGGCTAGTTTCGTTCATCCACCGGTGACTTCGCAGTTAGGCTCCTGTCTGGTAGACACACTGGGTGAGCAATGAGCGTGTTCGATGTCTTGTTTATGGCACAGGAAGAGAAAATGAACTGCTCAGCATCGTTACATCAAGCACTAGGCTCCAATGGCTGGCCCATTTTTACGCATGCCATCCTACCAACTCTTGCGAGATGCTTTGATTGCGCACCAGAGTGTGAATGGAAGAAGACGAGGGATGGTCAAGCGATGACTTGATCAAAGGAAATGAAGTCTATTACTTCGAAATTGGCCTCGGTTGGAGCCTCCCGGCTCTCTACTTGGGGACCGAAGGAGGATGAACATGTTTGGCTGGACAAACTCGTTAACATGATTAGGAGCTTACCTCAATGTCTTCTGTATTGTGCGTTTCTTTGCCCAACCCCTATCTTTTAACCTCCCTCTCCATCCACGATCTCAATTGCTTGGCATAATATAACTCTTAACAATAAAATAGCCTGCTGCCAGCTCTTCTGAACGATGCTCATCCGTAACTGTTGACTCAGCCGACGTGCCCCTGTTGCATGTTTGCTCTATTTTGGATAGCGACAAAATAGCTGAGGAGTTTTCCACCTGCAACTAACGGATACAGTGATTATGATGATAGCGAATAAAATCTTTGTGGTCGTGCTGACGTGAAATAGCACGCATAGACATAATGATGCAAATCTTTCACTTGAAACACTATTTTAACAAACAGCAGAGTTGGTGTTAGTCTATGTAGTTAACATAGCACAGCTCACTGGTAAATAAACAGTAATTTATGTATCGACAGTGCACTTAAGCACTGCCATGTACTCAGGCCAAAATAGGGCTTGTTACTCTGGCTAACTTATTGGCAGGACCAGCCCTAATGTTTCTAAGCAGATTTGTTAAGACACATAATTACGAAATTAACTCCGTGTTATTGCTACTCGTTTTACATCAAGTAAATATAGTGTTAAAATTACTGCAATTTTCAGCCAAATAAAAGCAGTCGTCCTAATATACAATAGATGTATGCTTTCCAAAGCCATGTGCATGTATAGAATGGATGGAAATATGATGCTTCAAAAACCACCTTTCAACGATTACTAAATCTATTGCTTTGTTACATACTGCCTGTACGTTATTCTACTCTTTCTAGGTTATGTACAGGATGAAATCTCGATTTTACAAAATATATGGTTCGTGCCAGCTGGAGAAGGAAATTGACTCAATATCACTCGGTGGACATCTATCGTTATACCGTTTGAAGGCCAAGTCAATGTATTACGAAATCGATGAACCGCATTACTTATATCAGCTGAACCGCTTAATTAATGGGTTAAATTGGATGAGTTCTGGCTGTTTATACAACGGATACATCGAATGGGAACCGGGTAGGTAACTTATGATGTTGACTATGGGCTTATTTACTGCGGCAATCCTACAACCTATGGTAAACTATAAGTTTAGACAAAAATACAGGATGTCTCGATTTTATGCGTCTATTTATTTCATTTGAAAGATCTTGAGGCACGGAATTTTACCCTAAACACTTTAGGATTAAAAAAAGATGAGTATGTTATACCATAAGGGAGTGATAATGCCTCTGTTATTGTTTAGTACCACTAAATATATTAACTATTCAGCATGTCTGAATAGGTGACTCAGCAATGCCAACAAATCCCTTAAACAAATAAGGTGCGCTTAACTTACAAGTATTAGGCACGGACTATATAAGTAGTGTAAATATAAAAAATACGCTGTTGACCCTATCGTTTATTTATTTATCCGACTCCAAGTTCAACATTTTAAGCTGTGCTATTATTTGCTATAGTTTTCCTGATTACAACTGTCAGCTAATTATTTTACAGACACGTACCCGGCGACCATTTGGAAGAACCTGACAGAAAGACGCGATTAAATCTCAACTACTAGAGAAAAACAAATATAGCGAGATTTAGAATAATAAACCCTTTCTTAATTTCGCTTTTAAACCCTGACTCTGGCATGGTTAGTAGTATGATTTATGATCGGCATCCGAGGCATATACACAATAAAATTCCCATTCAGAAGTTTGCTTGGAAAAATGTAAAGATGTGCATAAAGTTCTTTATTGCCCTAGGTGCATTAGTACTCGTATAGAGTAGCTGTACAAGTTAACAATTTAGCAGACTTAAAAGACATCTATTTCCTTCTCAATTTAATAGCTTACTATAACGCACATATCCTAAGTTCAGGTGCTAAAATGCACGCTGCTTAACCCCGGTTTCTTCTCTATGCTTACCTGAATTACACGTTTGTAGGAAAAACATACGTATAACAAAACGCATCCTAAATTCCTTAGTCTGGTTTGAAATAAGAGCTAGTCTATTAGGACTGAAAAGAAGTTAACTGTGCATTAAAAATGCTAGTTGTATTTGTAGTAAAGTACTTTTTAGGACATTCAAAATTAATTTACGTCTATTTAACTAGTAACTGAGTATAAGTTGCGCATACTTTCAAAACACATTCAAAAATTTCGTGAGAAATGCATGTTACATTAAGGGTGGCTACATCAGCTGTTAAGTAGACTTAGTTTTATAAAGTAACTGGCTTACTAAAAGAATAACTACCAATGTGTAAGTTTATTATAGCATAACACAAACAGTCTATGACGTACCATACCAGTAAAAAGGTACCAATAGTCCATCGTTTAAAACTAAAATTTACTTCTGAACAATTCGTGCCTGACAGAGCTTGCACTAGTTCATTGTTTCAGAAAGGACTAAATGACTGAGCCAAACAATACAGGCAGCGAGTGAAAATGTGTTACTTTCGGAAAGCATACAACTAATGGCGAAGGTAGCAAACGTTAACAACTATGATAGTGTGCTTCCTAAGAGATGTGTTTTGATTAGTTTACAGCAATGAACAGCTAGGTTTCATATACATTATTCGCCATTCGTTACTACGTGAAGTTGCGTTAAATGAATCCAACGTTTATCTCCATAGTAAAGAGCGTTATTTTAATTATCCCCTGTCGTACAAAATTCTGCAATGCGGCTTTCATGCACGCACCTATAATTTTTCTATAGAAAAGATAATAGAAAGTCAAGAAATGAATATACCTTAGGCACTTGTAATTACAAGCTTAGGGAGATCGTGCTGCAAATGTGTTCCCTCATGAAGAAAAAAACGCTTAAAATCGAGTAGTTGCCCAAAGCCCATGGTTTTAGTTGAAAATAAAATGCTAACACAGCAAAACAGATTTATAAACAAATAATAAAGATGACAGAAAATAGGCTTGTCAAAGGCATTGTAATTTTTTGCTGTAAACTCCATTGCACTTGCGCACCATAGATATATTCACCAAATGACATTACATCTAAAGCCTGCGAAAATCGCCAGAAGCAGATGTGAAATACGTGTCTCGTACAGAAACCGAAGCCAACCGTTAAAAAGAAAGAATTAGATCGCAATAAACTAGCCTTCAAATAATCAATACTCGTAGGCTGTTACATAAAGATAACACAGATACCTAGCACGATAGAAAAAGAAGACGCAAAGTGATCCCAGAAAAGATATGGCGCCGAGCTGGATGTTGTCGCCATGGTTGCCGACGTAGTCAAATCTGAGCTAAGTGGATGAGGAAAAGCAAGCACGGATGATGACCTAAAGAGGAACGAAAGCGTACAGAGCAATGAAAACAACAAGATCGTCTAACGGATGTTTAACAGTTCCCTTACCTTATAGGTTGCTACATTCCAGCTCCAACCAACTAAATTTGCGTGCGGAATAACGTGCAGCGCTCAAAAAGAATTTTATTTTGTGTACAACTTTATTTGCTGACCAACAGTACAGTATGCTTTCTTCTATTAATCTTCATTACCACCGGCTCTTTACTTGACTTCTCTGTAAGTTGTCCCACTGACCTTTTACTCCTATCTCATCTCATCCGTCCAAGTAGCTTGTAGCCCAACAAATATAGTCCACTGTGTCCATCTTCAATTGCTATCTGATATCCGCGCTTACTTAAACGCATCGATTCGGATTGGTATTTACTAGTCTTACGAATAGATGATCACGATCCACATGCGTGTATTTAAACGTTTTTCAGCGCTTGAGGTTTTTCGGAGAGTTCGTTAATTATCCTCTATTATCTCCGTGTAGCATTGGTGTCTTGCTTTACTTTAGTAGTTTCGTCGAGTTTTCTTTTACGCTTGATCTTCTCGATTCGCAATTCGAAATTGAAATCATATTCGTTTCACAGCGTAGACATGCTTATTTTGGCAGTTACAAGTTTCATAGCACATAGCCTAGACATCTGGTTTGCTATAGACGAGACTGTACTGGAAACTAATGGTATTCCGACGGACCGTTCGAGGTACAATCTGTTCGTCCAACGTCTTCCCTCGTCGACTGCGATGCTGGTTTCGGACATTACAATCTGCCCATCGAATGAGGCAAAGAATAACACAATGATGCATGCGATTTTAATGGAAATACAGCCCAGCGCACAGGCTCGAATAGAGCAGCTCAATGGTCTCAAGTTGAGAGATCGCAAGCTGTCTACGTTGCAACCTGCTTTTCAGTTCATCGCTGCTCCCTTATTTTTTAAATGAAGAAGGGATTAAGGAGTTGTGGCTTGTACGCCTTAAATGTAATTGCCGGTAATTTTGTCCATGTTTCCAGGAACGTTACTGAAAGAACTTGCTAATAAATCAGACGTGGTATTTGAAGGACCACAGCAACAGAAGAACAGCAGATTCGGCAAAGTATTCTCCCCGTTTACAACCGGATTTCCTAGTTTCTCCAATTCGCCAGGCATAGTTAATAATAAAGATAGCTAAACCGCACGAAATTCTGGATGAATAGAATACGGAAAGCTTAGCAGCAGCGTGTGCCACGGTCAGACGCTCTCTAACAGCATAAATTTCGGATTTGCCTCTCCTTGTGGACAACATAGGACAGACACAGAAGGCGTACGCATACAGAGGAACCATCGATCTCCATCGATCCATCACAGTGCATCTTCATTTTTCTACCCATTTGTAAACTTAGCATATCCACTAAATTTACAGTTGAGAATGTAAAATGCTAACGATGCACCCTTTTGGGTACGTAAAGCTTATACTGACTTGAGTTGACTAAAAGAATTACCAGATCGTTAGAGGGTGGCTTAAACAACATAGAGTCATACTAACCATTCTAGGAGAGGATCAACAATATCAAAGGTCTGGAGTATGAAGAGCAGAATGTCATGGTCTAACCGGTCGTACGTTTTTGAGAAGTCGAGAAAGACTAAATCAACTCCTGTGCCAGAGTCTACTGATTCAGTCCAGCTGGATCGTGTTAGTAGTAGATTTGTAGTGCATGATCGATTTCGTCGGAACCCATCCTGTTCCAGTGGGAGATAATGAAATTATTCCAAGTAGGCCGTAAGTGCATCACAAATAATAGCCTCCATGACCTTGGAAAGACCCGTTAGTAAGATTTCGGGTCGGTAATTGGTTGAATTGGAACGACTACCTCCCTTGTGAATAGTAGCAATCATAACGACTTTCCACAGCTCGCGCTGATGTTTGTCAAATCCAAGCCCATAAAACTATTACGAATTGTACATCATCAGAACTCGCCACACTATGGAGAACCCAGGCTTATTCAAGTAAAGTCACAATTCTACACCGAAGTAGAAAAAGTTTTACTCTCCGCAAGCGCGCTGAAACACGGATCATGTGGTATCCTGATGTCCCATGGAGCACGCGAAAATCAAAAAGAAACAACAAAGGGGGACACAGCAAGCAAAAGTGTCTATACACAATCTGCATGCATGATGTGCCAAAACATCCTTCTAACGAGGTTCAACAGACCGGAAAGCAAGATTTAAAACAGTAGCGATTCATTCGTTAGACACTTTGGATTATATTGTGGCGCTAGAGCTCACCAGGATACCGCTCTCAACAAATTATAGAGGATGCAGCCTCAAAATCCTAAAATTTCTGGTTCAGTCAGAGCAACAAGCAAAGGATATTTTGGATCGATGGCAGAGAAATCGGAAAAATCCTGCTTCTGAACTTCGGTTAAAGGTCGCAGAAGCTTTGTAAAGTTTAAATCTCAAAGCACCTGAAGCAGCAAGCTTACCGACGGATGTACAGATGCGTAACTTGATTGCTGCTTCAATTGACTCTGATGTAGATTGAGAAGCACCTTGGCTAAATTACGCTTCAGCCGTGGTATCTTTATCCCATCAATAAATGAGTAACTGCCGACTTCCCCTCGGTCGGCATTATCCCACACTTGAACCATTCACTCCTTTGTGGGCTCCTATAGACCGAGAAAATGTCCTGCTTGTATACAAATGCTCTGGGTTCTTTTAATAAAATGACGTAGGCAGTCCGTTCCGTTGCTGCTTGCATTTCCCTT